CACACACACACACACACACACACACACACACACACACACACACACACACACACACACCATTTTAACACACTAAGTATAACCTCAGTTATCATGATAAAACTAATAGTATTGTTTTCGTGCTGAACAGTTTTAATTTGCACATACAAACACCTAAAACCTGTGTTAAGAGTTAAACAGGTGAAGGAGGAGTCTCTGGATTGAACATATTTCATTCTGTTAGGAAATGAGATTTAAAGGCTCAAAGGTCAGGCTAAATGTAGAAGGTCTTTAGGGTGACTCTAATTAAAGAAACTTCAGCTGTGTCTCAGTTCAGACCGCGGCCCACAGAGACCCTTCATAGTCCAAGTGGGCTGATACTAATGAAACGGTCACGTCTTCAGAGGATGTGTGTTTACGTAACCTCACACACCATCCTTACCATGGTGTCATACGTTTTATATCACATCACCCAGAAATGTGTGGGAAGAATATTAACTGTCTCTGCTGCACTGTTTTTACCTGTTGSAGCACCAGATCAGCTTTTACTGATAAAAWCTTTATTCATCCTCCAGACTCATACACACCAAGGTGTGAGATGGTAAGATTCAGGGAACTCTTTTCACACGCATGAAGCTGAAACGAGCTTTGTCTTCATTGTAATTTATTACAAAAATAGAGAAATCTTCATTGAATAATGAATATAACTAMTAAAGAAGAGATACATGAAAGACAATGGCAATACGGTTTATTATATACTGCATATATATATATTTTTTTTCTTCCTGAAATCTAAACGAATGTTTGACCAGATTTCAAATGGGACGTTGTCAGCTCAGGTTAATTTTTAACTCTGTCTTTCTTGTTGGAGGCAGTAAAATCAGGGTAAGGGTTTCAGCTGGACTGTCAGTGAGTCATGTTCAGGTGTTTCTCACCTGTTGGTATTCCTCGAGGGTACGCTGGAGGTCCTGCCACTCCAACTCCAAATTTACCCTTTCAGTGTCATCTAGCCGGGCATTTCCTCTCCGTTTGTTCATTTTTGTGTTTTACTTTCCTCTTTCTCTGTTAAAGTTTTCAAACTTAGAAACAATCCTATTTTGCTGTTTTCATGGCAACACATCGCCTGTWAAAGCACATCCTGATTTTGAGAGTGCATTTTATTAAGTCTACATWTTCATTTGAAAAAGCAGCATTTCAATTAAATGTAATTAAAAAAATTGGGACTGGGAAATTAATGGTGAATAAACTAATAACTGGTTTCACCTTGTAAAACTCGAGCATGGAGGACTGAAGCAGAAACACATCAGTGGACCAATAATAAATAAATGCACTTAAAATGCACCAAATGAATTAAAAATAAGAACTTTACCTCTCCTTTATAAATTTATTTGGTGCATTTTAAGTAAATTTATTTAATTATTGGTCCCTTTATATATTTCTGATTTTAGTTCTAATTATGTGCTTTTATGCTGCCTTTATTTCTATTTTTTTAGTGTTTTCAGTTGTTTTGATTTTTGCTGTAATTTACTTTTCTTTTGAACACATTTTGGGTATAAAAAAGGGGCAGAAATTATAAGATTTGTTCTTTTTCTGCTGTCTTTCATTTTATTTTATTTTATTTTGATTGCATGTTTTTGTATTTTGTTAATTTGTCAAATTTGTTATTTTGTTTTACAAATGAAATGAATAAAGTGAAATAAAAAACAATAATGTTGGGTTCGGGAACAGCGACGTTTAGGAGCTTTGAATCAAACCCGGAAGTGATTGGAGGGAACTTCTCTTGACATTTTTTAATCTCTGGAATGTATTTGACGAGACAAGACTACTATTCTGGACATAAAAACATGAATATTAAATAGCAGAGGATTCCATCCGTATTTTAATGTAAGTTAAGTTGCAGAAACATTTAGATCATATTTGTAAAAGGTTTTGTTGTTTAACCTGCCGATGAAAGCACATCACTTCCGCCTTCCTGTCAGAACTGCGCATGCGCGAACTCCTCAATAGTCTGTTGACAAATGTGACCAACCATATCTGTCCGGTTTGCAGTTTTTATTTCAACTAATTGCTAAAATATGTAACTTTACGGGGTTTTCCCCTGAACTGCTGGTGACGGTGGATTCTTCATGAACTTCTGAGATCGGTTAGTCCTTAAAAGTGTTATTTTTGAGTTATATTAGATGACAGGACGGTGGAAAACAGTAGGTGTTAGCTAAGTAAATTAGCTCCTCGGAGCAGGACACTGCGTGGCCTTAGGACGGTTTAAGCTAGGTTTAGAGGTCCATTTTAAAGCCTGACGTGCTCCTGAGGGTTTCACAGGGGCGTGGGTTTATTCATAAAGTTTATTTCATTCATCTTAATGTGACAAATTAAAATTACATCGTACAATCCGGTGAAGAGTTGATCTGTAGATCCTGCTCAGCAGAGTGGCTCTGTTAATGTGGTGAATTGATATTTGTAGGGTTTTGTGTCTCAGACTGGTATGTTTGACAGAACCAGTCTGACCTGTTTGTTCCTTCCTGCTCGCTGTGGGATGGACCTGAATGGGTTCATGCAGCCTGACTGGTTCAGGCCTCAGGTCCTGGCCTCCACCATCCTGGTCCTCAGGGGTCCACTGTCCAGTTTTATTAGCTCCTCAGCTTCAAAACGCTTGATTAGGAAAAACAAACAATACAAGACTGTTATGACCCTTTAAAGAACCACAGAAGAGTCATAACACATTTAAAGAAGACAGTAGGGTGGAGCAACATGAGCAAAAAAACATGATTAATTATGATATTTAGCTGATAACGATTAATTATCTGCTTTATTAATATCATTATATTACTAATTAATAAAGGGATCCCCGATGTAGTTTTGTAAAGTTTAAAAATATATTTTAACACGGACAAGGCCATTTTATTTGCACACAAAGCATTCTGGGTAAATGATGACGTGGATAGGTCCTCGGTGCGAGGCTGCTAGCGAGCTATATCCACCCTGAAGGTTAATCTTGGACAATATCTGATGATCGACTCTTTTAAATGAAACCAGAGAGCGTTGACAGAGAGGAGAAGGTAGAAATGACTCAGCCTGGAACTGAAAATATGGATGGAGGACAACAGAGCTGCTTCATGGAAGAACAACCTCAGATTAGCCTGTTAGCTTTAGCACCAACGCTGTATTGCTTTATATGTATTAGCTCAGTGCTAGTGCGACAAACAAGCTAAACTGAGGTCCTCCATCCATATTTTCAGTTACAGCT